AGTAAGTACAACAATGCTAATTAAGACGAATAGTGACAACAAGAAAAGAGGTAAAGCACGAAAGTGTAAGAATTAAAAAGAAAGTTTTAGATTTACATGGTGTGATTGCTGATTCAAAGATGGTTGTTCTCTTTGAATAAGAATAGCCTCTTTTATCTCAAGCTGAAAGCTAGTGGAGGCGTGATCTAAAACATGGAAATTATCTGTTGAACACTACAGGAGAATCTTTCAGATGTTTGAAAATGTGAGAGGCCCTGTCACTGACTAAGTGTTCTCTAACACGTGTGGAAAAATGCCGGCAGGTTTGACCGACGTAACAGGCATTACAGCCAGCACATACAAACTTATAAACCACACGTGAACGGAGCCCGTCAGGGACAGGGTCTTTCACACCAAACAAATAACCGATTTTAAAGGAAGAGAAAACCAGTTTGATATCCAAGTCATTGCAATAGCACTTAATAAAATGGCGGATTTTTTTTTCAGTGATAGCAGAGAAGTGGCCTATGTAGGGTAGCTTAAAGTAGAACGTAGGTGAAGTGGTAGTAAGGGAATCCAGGGGATGATGATTGTTTTGGGTCCCAGTGATATAACGGTTTATAATCTTCTCTATTAAATGAGCTGGGAAAAGATTCTTTTTTAAAATATCAATAAGGTTGTTAATGTCCTCGTGAAATCTTAACCAGGTGTTATTAATTTTGTAGGCCCTATCAACGAGTGTCTTAATGAGACCCACTTTGTAAGAGTACGAGGTGAAGCTGAAATAATTAAGTTAGCCTTGACCCAGAGAAAGTTTTCTTGTGGTAAACGTAACAATCATAATATTTTTTCCTCTGATCCTAGCTTCTAACATTTTATTATGTGTAAGGATTGGTATTGGCTATAAATGTATAGTCAAATTATAGTTTTGTGCACAGCCTATGCATCAATGATTACCAGTAGTTCAAGACTATGGTAAAACAAAGGCTTCCCACTTCATCGCCTGATGTAAAAGCGAACCAAAAGTGATTTAATTTTTGTTCTTGTCTTTGTTTGAGTTCTCCAGATTAAAAAATCACTTCATTTAGGCGCTTTTAGAAAGGATAAATGGCGGAACGATTGATTCTCCAATTAATGCAAATACCCGATTTCTAGCGCACCTGCAATTTCTATCGTCTTGAAACTAAACTTTTGAAGTCAAATTTTAAGTCAAAACGCTTCAGTAACAACTTAATTTATCGTCTCAGCAGATTACTCCAAAGACCGAGTTCTCTGTTCTTTCTTCCTCGTTCATCGTTTATCGTCTTTTAGTAACATCCCTCCAGAACATCACATATTGTTCCGTTGTTTACGTTAGTATGCATAGTCATGCTGATACTGATTTAAAAATGACATATCAGGCAGTCATATAGCATGTGCTACACTGTTGAGAATGAGGATTCAAGAACGATTTTTCATGACTTGAAAAGTGAAAAAAATAAAAATAAAAAACAGCACCGTTTGAGTTTAGTGAAGAGTATGAACGCGACCTCTCAGTATCAATGAAATTAAGGGTTTGATCCTTTGAGTTTGGCGGGAGGTCCAATAATTCAGTGCGACATCGTTTAGTCGCATCGCTTTTCATGTTGCGATTTTAGAACTAACTGTCGTTTCAGCGAAGAATGCGGTGGAAGAAAAAACCACCGTGTTTGACAAATGTATGGTATTGATGACCAACAGACCGGACCTCTGGTCAGAGAAAGCATCTCGCGTTGGAGGAAAAGGAAAATTAAAGGAACATGTAAGAATATTGTATGTATAATGTCCAAGTAAACTTTCTGCACACTTGACAACGTAACACAAGTGAACCGCAGAGTCATTTCATAAAAGGCATTGGTGTTGACCTTTTGGGTTTGTAGAATGATCAAAAATGAAATACTGATATTCTTCTCAGAAATTGTTGTCGATAATCGGCCACAATTTTATGACGTTCTTTCTCGACAGAAAGCATAATGAGTGGTAAAGCGAAATCAGAGTAGGCCTTAAATCAGTTTGGACTAAAAGGCCTTTTGATAGTTTCTGTCTCTTTGTAAAGCTGAATGCCAACTATTTTATAGCTGCAAAGGTTACTAATTATTTTGTTAGTTGATTATGTCCTATCTCGAGAGAACCGCAATCTAAGTGACTCAAGACTAGCAGCGTAAATCTCAGAAGTTAAGTGACACCCCTATCGAAGTGCAAGAGAAGAAGATAGAGACCCTCTCTAGGGTTCTCGTTGGGATTGGATATTTTGCAAGAGAATATCAATTGTTAACTGCTGAACACAGCTGTTAAGGTATGATTTAACCGACAGAAAGAACACACATGATACTCCTACAAACCCAACCACCTTATCAAACAACGTGTAATATTCTTCCCAAGAAGCGACTCTTAAAAGCAGTATAGTAATTATCCTTAGTAAACTTACCTTATCCCACTACAGACTACAACTTAGCTCACCAATGACAATCTTTGCATTAGGGGTGGACTCGTGATGTCGTTTAGAATGGCAAATTTGACACAGTTCGACATTTGCAGAAATGTTAAGATAAAACTCATTTTCTTCTCAGTAAAAACCTTCAAAAAAATTATACATAAAAATTTAGGTGAATTCACCACCCCCCCTCCCCCCTCCATTTCACCCCCTCTCCTCTGTATGCTGAAGCATCATTTTGCCTCAAAAACAAACTAACGTCAGGGAATATTTCCAAACAGACGCTAAACTCTCCTTCATTTGAATGTTAAGACTATTCCTCAGGTATCCTCTACTCCAGGCTGAAAGAGCGTTATTTTGATATTAGGTACTGTTTCTAGTGCAATTATTTATATCAGCTAAGGAAAGAAGGGTTTTGACCAAAAGGTAACCTAGTTTATAATTATGTAAGATTGATAGACTCTTAACCTCTACTGAGAGTGACCGGAGAACATGGTCTCTTGGATGTAAGTCTCCTGAAACACGTACAAGCAATTTTTTGCACTTCCGGAAGCTCTGTTACTTTGGTTTGGTTTTGTCCTTCCTTCAAAGGAGAGATCTAGAGGATGGTCTAGATATGTTAGATCAATGTCGTGGAGAGAAAGATGTGAACTCATGTACGGCATCATCATGCAGACAGAGTCAACTCAGAATTTTTCAACACTTTTATTATATAAAATCAAAGTGCTCTGTGAGCAAACTCGTGAATTGACACATGATTTTTTAGATTATGTTTAATGTTATCTGGTTTAGGGAATTTTGTGGTTGATTGTCATATCTAGAGTACGAGCAGTAGTTCAGTGTTCGCTAATGTAGCAAAGAAACAAATTAACTTTGGGATAAGAAGGCATTACAATTGAAATGATCATGCTATTACATTTGACAAGGTGGATGATGTCATGTGTTTTAAACGTCTATCATTTTTGTTTCTGGTTTAAGAGAAAAGGTTGGAAGTAAATGTGGGTGAAAAGTGAGATTTACTGTCTTTCGTTGTAAATATTAGAAAATCAAGGCAATACTGTCTCAGTGAAAACATTAACGATTCCCTCTTTATCAAAAGAGACAAATGGGAACGAGTTTTGAGTGATATAACTAAGCTAAGCCTGCCACCGTCATTTTGGATCTCCGCCTGGGTAGATTTAAGTCACGTGCTAGGCAACGTATAATCAATAACAAGATAGAATTTCATTCAGGCCTATTTACCAATTTTGTGGTGTGTAACTTTCGCATTTTAGTACGTTGTATGTATGTTGAATCTTCAAATTGTCTTGAAACTTAAAAGAAAATTGTTCTTTTAAAATTCACTGAAAATCGGTAGCTAAAACTGTTTGTTTAGGTGTTATTTGATTTTCGTGTTAACTTGTTATTTCGTCAGTCGCCGGCATCTTTTGTTGCTTCACACAGGAAAAACACACGCGACGAAACGTAATGATCAATTTTGTCCTCAATCTCACGCTATAACAGAAAAAGCTTTTGAACATCTGTAAACTCCGAGCGCTTCGCAGTAAGTGATATTTTCAATGAATCTTCGGATTGTTTTCAAGTTCAAGGATTGTAAATTACAATTTTATGAAAAACGAAGGTTGTTCTGTTATTTCAGTGTGAATCCTTGCATGCCTGCCAGTCGCTGGCGCCGCTTGTTGAAACTAAAACGTAAAAAAAAAACTCTTTAAAGATTATAATTGGCTTCTTTTTCACCCCACCACTATTCTTAGCAACAAAGGTCGCCATTTCGTCTTTTTATTGCTCGCCAAAAACTATCAAATGCACTCAAAAGCCTAAAATCTAAAAAAAGTTTACAGGAATCGACCAATCGAGCGAGCGAATGCCATTCCCCACATCGTACCTATAACTCGCTCTTGCGCATGCGCGCAATTCACGAGTTAAAAAATTAAAGTTATTACATTAGCAACGTATCCAAGAAAAAAAGACTTCCACCCATATCTACGACCAGTTTCGTTGTGTATTAGTATCTAGCACGCGAAAACTATCGCCCTATTACTGAGGCCAAACAACAAACTTTCTTGCAGAAACAATGTGTCAAGTATAATTTTGATGAGAGTTCCGTATAAAAGTATTTCGAGTTGGTATCGCAAGTAAAGGCGGTCTTGGGGAAAGCAATTTATGCGCACGATTAGCTTTCCTGAAAACAAGCGGGTTTTGCGGCAAAATGTTTAAGTAATTTATTAAAATTGTACACAACTATGGCTTTTAGAGCGAGATCTCATCATCACCTAAGAATTGAGCCAGAAAATAAACTGAACTCAAACGCTTGTGTCGAGGCATACATGTAAGTACTCGATATGTTAAAGAGAAAATGAGAGTAAACTTTATCGGTAAACTTATAAAAGCGTTTTAGCGTTTAGGAATATAAAGTCAATTGAATTACAACGTTCCAGCCTAACTGCTAAACGCAACATGGCTATTTCTACCAAGTTAGCGTGTAAAGAAACGATGATTAATCCCTGACACTTGTCTGGGCGAAGTGTTCAAAATGTTAGTAGGTCATACACCGTAGACGTGTATCTAACTACACCATTAAATCCTCGACGTTTGCATATAATTGCTTGTCGTACATTTTCATGTCGATTAGCTTCTGCAGAGGAAAATAATATAATAATCAGCATCATTAAAAAAGTTTTAAGTGGTTATCCTCACAAGCGGTCAGGTTTTCACACCAAAACAAATTCAAGGAGGAAGTATTTTATGGCGTCGTCATCTGCTACTCTTTGTGCGCCTCAATGCAGTTTTGCAATCATCCTATGATCTTTTAAATAACCATAAAGTATTAATTGTCATTGAGACATTCTTGTTCACTTCTTTGATGTTTTTCGTGGAGTACTAGCTTCAGTGTCATAACAAAAAGATGCAATGCAAACTTCGTAAAAATTACAAAGATGAGTACATATTACTACGCTATTTAGGCTCAATGCTGTTAAGTTTAACCCTAATTAGCTGAGCCTAAGCCAGTCGGTCCTACGTGAAAAAACTTCATATTGATAAAAATTCTGACCTTGTGTAGGGTTTCCATGTCCTTAAGCTGATTTTTCAATTCAGTGAAAGTTGGTCTTGCATCTGGGTCATTCTTCCAGCATTTCATCATGATTTGATACCTGGCATTGTTCAAGTGATCTTTTTGAGATTTAAAGAGCATATCCTTGTACAATGAGAGAGAACGAGGTAACAAAGAAAACTTACAATTTTTCATCGACGTGTTGTGGTTTAGGCATCCTGTATCCATCCTGGAGTAAGTTTGCAATTTTTTTTCTTCCATCCATTCGTGGGTAAGGTGAACCGCCTAGAAGAACCACAAGACCATCGAAATATAAAAACGTGACGAAAAAAAAGACCTTCACTAAAACATCACCTGTGTCAGTTGATGGAGTTTGAGGTTGCATGGGGAAGCATATTACGTTTGTCTAACTGAATACGATACATTGTTTAATTAAGAGCCTCATAAACTTCCTTTCGATGTTACCTATGGTGAAAATCTCGTACAACAAAACTCCATAACTCCATCTGCAGAAAGACAAATCAAACGAATATAAATTAAGTGACTATAGACATAAACAGTATATACGACGAATAAAATAAATGTATTCTTTGACAAAGCATAGAATTCAAGTCCTGACTAAAAATGATAAAACTTGTTGATAAATTGCTACGGTTGATAATCAGGTATACTTACACGTCACTTTTGGTGGTATATTTACCATACAATAAGGCCTCATAAGCTGTCCACTTCACGGGAAGACGGCCCTAAAGATTTTAAATACCACTTTGTGAAACAGCTCGAGAATTATAGGTAGCGACAAGTCAAAAACAGTGATATTTAAAGTTGTACTCGTATACGCATGGATAATATTTTCATTAGGGTCCCAAGGAATTCATGATCGAAATCAGGAATATAGCAGCATTAAAACAACAATGATTGTGAAAGATCACTAAACTGAACAATATGTAATACCGCCCTCACCTCTCCTTTTTCTTGATTACCTTAGTCTTTTGTTCATAAATATTTTCCTGCTGCACATCTCTGGCCATTCCGAAGTCTGTCACTTTACACGTTTCCTTTTGTCCAACTAACACATTACGGGCCGCAAGGTCTCGGTGAATGATCTTGGAAAGAATTGATGCAACAGCAAAAATTAGCGATTGCAGAAGAAAAAGAACTGAAATGAAATGGTTCGGATAGGAAAATAGAAATATCTAGCAACATATGGTGTGCGTATTTCTATTTCTCCCAGATGGCAGAAAATTAAAACTACTACAATATCTACTCCATATTCCAAAGAGAAGCAAACTACTTTATGTCTGCAATACGTAGTTATTTTAAAGAACGCTTATCTTAAGATTTTAATCGAAATAGGATTCTGTAATGTAGCAGTTTGGCAACAAAAGATGAATTTTTTAATTTGAAGTTTTAATTACTTTTCTTCCTTGTCACTAAAATATATATTTGTTGTACACTTAGTTTAGGCTGAATATCTTAAAAGATCCTATTCATTCACGTCTCTCCCTTTGCCTACACGAGAAAAATCCTAATATTTTATTTCACATTGAAATAAAACTTATATGACGACCTCAAAATTGGGAAGGTTCTCGACCCTAAAGAAATAGCCTCAACAAGACGGTAAGGATACGTTTGCTTCTCCCAGGCGTGATCTTGTGAAGACATAATATTCCATGCCAGACAGAGCTTAACATGACGATAGACCTTACGAGAAGGTTTTAGAATTGTTTGTCTTTTGTGTTTTTAACTAACTTACAGATTTTGCGGACAAGTAACTCATTCCATCAGCAATTTGCCAAGAAAACCTCATCAGCTGCTGTGACGTCAGATTTGTTTGCGGTTTGATATCCGGGTCTTTGTAATAAGTGTCTTTTAATCCACGGCTCTTTCTCAGGTAACCCAGCAGATCCCCAAAAGGCACATATTCAATCAAAACCAACAGCTCTTCTGAAGAAATTAAACAATTTAATTAATATATTACTCTCTCTTAAAAAAAAACAATAATTAAAACAAATGAATAGCCCTGTCATTGTCAACACTTTTGAAGAAATCGCATGAAAACAAGAAAAACTATGTGAAGAAGGTACAGACCAATTATTCCCTTACAAAAAGCGTTTCTGCTTATACAACAAAATGATCTGTTCAGTGGCAAATATTCGGTCTTAGTCTATCACTAAATCCAGGAACGTCTGTGTTGGCTAAAACAAGATAAAATTACCTCATACGATGGTTGTTTGTTGTGCTCAATTAATCATAAGCAAAATGTGTACAGCAAAATTAGACGCGCATAACCAAAGCATACCAGACTCCGTAACACATCCTAGAAGTTTAATGACGTAAGGATGTGGTTTTAGCTGCTTCATTGTGTCAAGTTCTTTCATCAAATCTCTCTTGTCCGATTCAGAAGCGTTTGCTGGAGCGTTAAAAACAAAGAGTAAAATTTGGTTAACGGGAATAATGTCGAAATAACAACATAAGTTATGAAAAGGCAAATAGCTAAAAAATTACGTAAACCCGGTAACATTTCCTGAACGTCTGTAGGCCAAGACTTTCATTCAATATACAGTACAAGAGCTCACTTTTAAGCATCTTAATAGCCACTGTGGTCGTCTCAGGACTCCCTGGAAGTCCTACTGCTGTTCCCTTGGCAACCTGACCAAAAGCACCTTTACCAATGATTTTTTCTATGGTCACGTGATGTCTTGGAACTTCCCAGCAGCGTGTTAACGGAAGGAGAGGCACGTAATCAGCACCTGTAGCGGTACTTTGTGCTTCTCTATCATCTTTGTTGACTTCTATGAGATCCATGTATTCCGCAGGAGATTGAGTGAGTTTTCTTGAATCTGGCTGACTTGGTGTGATATCTACTAATCCTGTTTCATTCTATTGAACCAACATACCATTGGTTATAAAAATCAGCTTACTCATTTTTATTTGACAAACGTTTATATTCTTTCAAAACAAGAGATGAAAAAAAGTTTATAATCTCTTGTCCCTATTATTATTGTAACATTTTTTTTACTACTAACATTTTGTTCTCTGCTTTTGAAACTATTATGTCCAGTGGAGTGATCGAGACTCATAGCATATTCGCCGAAGCTACAAACTGCAACTTGAAGATTGTCGATTGGTAGTGCAATTTTGACAAATAAACCCACGAAAAAACTCCTGCTGTACTCAGCTCTTAAACCCACGTTTAGAAAATGAGGCATCAAGAAAATATGACGGCAATTGTCAATCAATTGTTTAAAAAGCAAATATCAACCGGGAGCAGACCAGTTAACGATCTATGAAGTGACGCCACGCAGTTGAGCCGAGAACAACCTAAGGAAAATCCATGGAGCGGCTTAAAACATGATTCCAGGACAAAGACCTTATCGAGTCAAACTTCCTCCTCTATTTCATTGTATCTGCCGGTGCTTTTTTTTTTTTAGAACTACATACATTTTTTCCTTCTTATTTGCTGCAAGCGTTTATTTTCTTATAGAAAGTAGAGGTAAAGTGAGATTACATAATTTCTGACCACACTAACATGACCTCAATGTCTTAGCTGATACTTACGTCGCAAACACCTCTTTCATCTTCATAATTTCTAAAATTGAGAAAGCATAGAAATAATTATGAAACGCTAAGAATTTCATCAGTTTTGATTGGAATTTTTTATTAAGATGAAACCATATCTGGTACATTACATCGACACAATCCAGCTGGCAGCAAATTCTTACCTCTGTTTCCCTACAGCGCCTGAAAAAGAACGAAAGGACTAAAAGACCAGTGATGTGGATGTGGGTCAAAATTTGCTTTTGCTTAATAATGAATCTTACAGCCAAACCTTCTACAGATTATGATTTTTTACCTACCTTTCTTATGTAGCCAGATTATGTAAATTATTAGAAGAAGGACTGTGAGGGCAAGAACCCCAATTATGGCCAACAAGACGTTGTTAGATAGGCAGTTACATTCCTCAGGACCTAAAAAAGATTCATTTTACAAAGCTTGATGAAATAACATTCAAACAACATTTACACTGATCCTGATCGATACACTGCTCTCACCACATAGCATAGGTTCGTGACCGGAAAACGTTCACTTTAAGATTTTTTTTAATGAAATAAAACAACGACAAAAACAAAACCTAGAAATGCATCAGTCGCAGAATAAGTTGTTTAATTAAACAGATACGGAATACAATTATAAACAGTCCATCTTCGGAACAATACGTGTAAACATTTAACAATTTCTTTCTAAAATTTACCTTTTGTTGTGCTTTCCGAGCCATCTGTGGGTATTAAAACTTGTTTAATCGAGTCTGGTTTGACTTTAAAACCTTCGAATTTGTCTTGCCTCGCAGCATCCGACAGGACAATCAAAACATTGCTGACGACTACACTTTGATTGAACCTCATCATGAAGTCAAGAACAACACTGCCACACCTAGATAAGGAGGGGGGGGGGGAGCAAAAAGAGTATCATCACACATATTTGTACTTTGGTGACTTTTAAGTGTTAAAATACATTGAGATTTAACCAATGTAATAAACCAAGGTAAATAAAATTAATTCATGTCATTCTGTGCCGATATATTGCTGTTCATTAAAGGAAATGTACTTCAAATGTAAATTATCTCGCATTATATAGGATTTGCTGGAGCAGAAAAACCAGTTTTACCGCTAAAATACAACACATTAAGATAAAGCTCCTCCCCCCTCCCAGAACGCAAATTTGCGTTTGCGTTTGCGTTTGTTGTTTCAGTGTAAAACAACAACCTGTACCTTACCTGGTGTTCACAGTGTTGGCGGATGAGCAGCCAAACCTCAAGGCAATTTGACAAGCCTAAAACGACATATCAAGAAAAAAACGTACATTCAAATGCCTGTCACATATTGAAGATCGTTCAGAATATCTTATTTTTTTAACAGAAATATTAAGATTTAATTCAAGAACAGATTGATTAAGATTCAATTTTTATGATAAATCTCATGGCAGTATTCCTTAAACTCCAGTATATGGATCAAGTAGATTATCTAACCATTTCTGGAAATTTCGCAGCAACTTCTGAACGTCTGCTACAGTCCTCCTGTATTGTCGCTGTCAGGTAAACTTCTGTGCTTACTGTTTGAACTGGGGAAAAACAAAATACGACTGAAAATGAACGTTTGTTTGTTTGTTTGTTTGCACAAGAATTATCATTTGAACTTATGTATAAAAAACAGCCTTTACTTGCAAAGAACACTGGCATCAAATGTACGAATGGGAGGCCAATTTGAGAGATATTGTTTTTCTTGTATTTTGCGTCACGATGGTGTCTTCAGAATCGTTCCCCTAGTCGTCTTCCTTTTCGCCGAAGTATAACTTTTTGAAATAAGCGCAAGTTATGAAATAGATGACATTGGTAGAGCCAGTCTTAACATTATACTGACCAAACAGTTGTCCGTTTTACGCAAAAATAATATACCAGTTTTTGGATCATTTTGAAGTAATTTAAATTTGTTAGAAGGACAGGTCTTATTGCGTGATTGTGCCGCTAAAATGGAATACGATCATTCTCTTCCTTCTGCGCCGTTTGTAGAATGCCGACTTTCGATCCGTTGTTAAAGATTACCTTGAATGACAAAAGTAGGATGGCCACGGTTTTTTGAAGAACTGGCATATTGCCTCTGATTTCTTGGAAAATCAGAACTGTCAATGTCTAGGCGATGAAGCCTAAGACACTGAGAATAAGGAATGGTATTCTTGACATGTAATGGATTTGAGGATGACAAAACTATGAGACTCCGTGGGTCTGTAGCACATCCACTAATGCATAGACTGTTATCTGCTAACTTTGACTTCTAGAGAAGCCAAAGGGCTGTCAGAAATTTCCCAGATCTATTTTAGAGCTGGATGAAAGTACCTCTCTGGTGGAAAAAGTAGCGCTGATACAGTGATCAACGTAGCGACCTCAGATTCCAGCTCCCTATTTACGCCTGGTGGATGAGTCTATCTCTTTGTAATATATTTGCATGTCAAGGGTCGATTCCCTGTCATTATAAATAAGTCCCGTCTAGGAATATAATTTTTGAATTCGATATTATTCACACAGCCATCAGCTGGGAGTGTAATTGCTGCCGTTCCTGAAGATTCTTAAGATTAACTGCTGTTTCGATTCTTTCTGAATCTCTTTAGTTGCCTCCTAATAACGATTTGGTCGCAGAAGAATGACGGGAGCCCAAAGGTTCTTCAACACTTTTTAACTTTCCTTTTTACTGAACGAAGGAGCGGCAACAGACAGTGAATTCCCATTACATACATTTCTCGCTATTCTCTCTTCCATCAAGAGATGTTCACTCGACTGCAACAGGATGCAAATGACTTAAGCCCCGTTCAAACGATTATGAACGTTAATGATAGACAACTGAATGATAGTTTCAACTTTCATTCACATCATTGACTATCAAGTTTGTGTTCAAACGGTTCATAATAGTCAATGATAATTGACAAAATACCACCCAATGAGATCGCGTAATTGTACACAAGTATGATGCGAGCTGAGGTCAGAAATTTCAGTGGCATTGAAATTTTAGTCAAGAAGTTAGAAGCTGAAGATACTGAAGCCTACCAGGAAATGATGAGAATTAATTACGAGACATTCTGGGAAATTCCAATGCCTATTTTAGTCATTATGTTATATGCCATTTTGGTTTGAGCCCGTTTTGGCAAAACTGCTGACCTAACAATTATCATTCACTATCCTCCCCTCGTTCAAACAAAAAAAACTATCATCAAGTATCATGTCGAATTTGGATATGTCCAAACTACATGACATTTGATGAAATGTGATGATAGAGCATGATAGTTTGGGTTCAAACGCGCTTGATAGTTGAAAATATCGTCAACTATCCCGACCGTTTAAACGGGGCCTCAGTTTTTCTTTTGCGACCATGATGAAAGGCAATCATAGTGCGCACAGGTTCAGGATAAATAATGTTTTCTTTTTCAGATGTCGCGTATGATGTCAGCGTCGGTTAAAATGATATTTCATTGAGCGTTATTGTGAACTTTGGTTTGGGAAAATGAGTCAGAGTTGAAAGAAACGACCGTAAGCGACTTCCAGTTAAGAGATTACCGGTCAATTAATAGATGGGTATACGTGAGAACAGTGAATCAGTGAAACAATACGCCAGAAACGTACGGGCTTCTATTATATCTTCTCTTAATGTCGCCAGGTATGACTGTTCACTCAACAGTTTTCTCTATTGTGTCAAACTCCTCCGTAATTGTACTAAATTAAAAAGAATAGTCACTTTCAACCTGTTATTTTTTCAATTCTTCTCTTTTGATTATTCAACCAAATTTCAATGATCATGGCAACTCTATCCACTGAAATACGAAATTTGTCTTGTATCTGTTTCTTGCGCTGCTAAAGTTTGATTTAAACGAAGACAAGCTAGAACAAGCATATCTCATCTCAAACTTGACAACGAAAAGAGACCTAAGATTCGACTTAAGAGATGTTTTTAGAAACCTAGAAAGGTTTCAGGTTGGTTAGAGGATGTGAAGCAGCGCGAGGAAAGAATTTGCAACCCGTGTTTTGAGCGGGAAATCATACTGGTGAGGTTGTAGTTGAAAAGTAATTCTTGGTATTTTGCAATTTCTAATAAACTTGCAAAGCAACGATACTCAGAGCTAAAGCTTTTCCAAACGGAAGAAATTATCATGATTCAAGTTCGTGGAGAAAGGGTCTCGAGTGAAAATAGACTGGAAATGGAGAGAGAGAGCGACCAGAGAGAGAGAGAACTTAAAAGGTGTGGAGCGAGTCGAGAAAAACGCGAAATGGGGTTTGATAGGGTGAAGAATAGGCAGAACACAACGAGGAGAAGACGATAGAGAACAAGAAAAGGCTAAAGTAGAATGGTGAATATCTAACAAAGACCAACGTGAGAAGGCAATACAAAGAGCTACAGAAAACAGACTGAAAAGAGGTCAACAACAAAGAGAAAGCGAACTACGCTTGCAGCGAAAACGAAGATCCCCGAAAACTAAGACCGAAGACCCAGGAAAATGAAGACCCATTCATGACCTTTAGACATGAAGTTTGGGTCACGCTCTGTAGCTTCACCGAATAAAACCTGTGAAAAGATTGACAACCTCTCTGTTCGCAGCGTGAGAAAGCGTGATCATACATTATTCATCAAGCTAAAGCGAAAACGCCGACAATAGGCCACTTCTGAGTTCTCGCGGTTCAGTAATCTGGTGTCGAAATTACGGTGCGCAGAGGAGGCCAAGTGCGAAGTAATTTTCATCGGTAAAAGAATGAAGTGCCGTGGTGGTGAAAATGACAAAAGAGTTCTCTGAATTCAGTGTGAGAGAGTGAAATTTTTTTGTGGGAGAGATGCATCAACTAAGTGATGGCGGCAAAGGAAAGAAAAACGCAGTGAATTTAAATGTAAGAAGATAAAACGAAAGTGTTGCGGACTTCTCTTACCAGATTCAGATCAGCATGTGTCAGTAAACCACTTAAAATATTTGTGTGTGCCAGTCAATGATTAAAATCTCAGTTAATAGATATGCCATATATTTGCAGTTGGCATACAAATATCAACTGCGACGTAAGTAAAATTTTTCCCGTTGATTCAGGTTCTTGCAAGCGAAGAACTCACCCGTAAAAACCTCGATGTTGATGACATGGAGAGTGTTTGAAAACTAAGTAAAGAAAAGGATAAACCGTTGAAAGGGGAAAATAAGATTCATTTGAACATACTTTCTTCTGCCTTGACTTGCTGGAAGTTTTCATCCTCTTGTTTTAGGCTTTCACCAAGCTCATTAGTTGCAGTAATGGCAAACTGATACACCTCTCCTCTCTCCAATGTTATTTTCAATTCTCTCACAGAAACGTTTTTGATTTTCCTTATTACTGTCCACTGTCCCACTTTTCCATCAGTTACTACTCTTTGGTACACTGTATACATGATAATAACTTTTCCATTACTTTCTGGCTCCTTCCACTTTAAGGTAATTGTATTGTCTGTTGTTTCACCTGGCAGTTCGTCTATTTCCACCACATCCGGGGCTCCTAGATTGATGTCAACGACACGAACGGCGTGAAATTTCTAATAATTATACAACTTCTTGTTACAAACCTGGTCACAACCATTATCAGTGATTAAATAATCTGTAAATTGGTCGAGGATTTTTTGGGATATTTGAGACGAAAGTGTATGGCAAGCAAAATTAAGTTAAATATTAAGATGAATTCAAAATAATTTGAAAGGACAAAAAGTGATAATGAGAAGCCTAACATGATGATCGGTTATTGCCTAAAACAAATACTGCATTTAGAAGGTGAATTTAACGATACACCGACTTCTACTGGCATTTAACTGCTGTTTACACGCGATCAAATGAAGGACCGATGCATATAAGACGTCGCAATTCATCATTCGTTTGTGTCACGTAGTTACAGAAAGGATCTCAGTTCGTGTGCAACTACTCTCTGCTTTTGAAAAGTTTGACATCGCGCATGACTTAGTACAGGCACTCTGCAATGACGCAGCGGAAAAATGAGTGCGCATTCTCCGCTTCTCGAGCCATTTGAGCGTCCAGGCCTACGATTCTTCTTCTGCAAACATAAGCTGGCGCGGGTTTTTTCCGCCGAGACATCAAGCTTTTTTTTCTTCAGGAGGTTTGCCAACCGAGAAGGCTATGAGAAGAAGCACTAAAGCGAAAACAGATGCGACGAACTTCATTGCCATGTTTCACATGTTCAACTTCAGTTACTAAGTTCACACCTGTTACCACAATAGTTTTTTTGTTGAGTAAGATATGTGCCGTATGTGATTCGAAAGAAACTCTCTTGAAGACGGCAATCTTAATTGTTTTGGTTTGGGCTTATCCCTGCGAAATGAAAATAAGCTATTTTTCATTTTAAAGGAAATATACGGAGGATTCTTTGAGGCCGTCCACACAATGTTTGACGAGATTTCCCATAATATTTGCATGTTAAAAGCGATTTTCATGAAAGGCCTATTTCTTCAAACTTCAATTCTTTAGTCAAACGATGTGTGGAAATTGTCTCACTGCCTAAGGGTTATTGGGCCTTCTGAATATGGCCGGTACGAGTTTAGGAAAAATGTATCCAACTATCCTAAAGGTCACTATGCAGCGGTTGTTGTTGTTGCTGATTCATATTACAGATTTTGAAACATGAACATCAGAAATTAAATATAACTGGCCATTAAGGAGGGACAAACGCTGAAAATCGAAAATCTTATAATGCGGCAAGCAGATAACATTGTTAACACTGGGTTACTCACAATAAATCTAAGTTGGCGAAAAAAATGATTGGTGTAAAATGCTCACGACATCACTTTTGATTCCTCACCTTCAAACTTGGTCTTAATGTTCCATACAGTAGGATCTCCCTCGAATACAAAATTTCTGGAAAACAGTTTTACTGTGTAGTTGGTATCTTTCTCCAAACCACGAAACGAATAACTACTCGTCCCAGGATCGGTGATATTAACCTTTTTTAACACAGTTTCATCCTTTTGTAAGATCATTTGGAATCCTATAATCTGACTTCCTCCATCATCAGCTGGTGCAGTCCATTGTATTGTTATAGAAGTTGCTTGAATGACTGATTCTGATTTGATGGATGCTTTCCTGGTTTCTCTACATAGTGCCATAGGAGAAGAGATTACTTTGAGTTTTGTCACAACACTAAGGATGAATGCAAGTCCACGTCTTCTCACAGCTAATTACTCAACTTTCATACACTGTTCGAATTCCGATTTTCTGATTAGATGATTTGTACCACGTGATACTGGATTGTGACGAAACTACCTCCTTGACATCGTCATCGTGCCGTAATGGCCGTGGTGCAAATTCAACACACCGTTGTCATTACACCATGGCTTGGTTTACCTTTTATATAGTGGTTTCACTGCAGTGTTTCTTTGTGCAGTGTGTGAAGTTCAAAGCTCTTTTGTTACGTGTTTAATGCAAAGAAAGGGCAAGGTGTCGACAATTTACTTTAAATATTTTTCACAAATACGGGCACATTTCCAGCTAAAAGATCAGGCTAACTATATCCGGTATAATTCCAGTAATATTCTGTTATACCTCATTGGGGCAACGAAGGCGAAAAATATGTGAAGGTCTAATGCTGCTAAAGAGGGGAAAAATGTGAATGGAACGCTCAGATAAGGCCGTAGGATGTATGTCGAAAACTAAGCGGACAAATTGTTCGTAAATGAAAGAATAATAAATCCCTTACTCGATGGTTTAACACAAGCTTATATTTTTTCCACACGCCTATGGGTCTTGCAAAATATCCGCACGTATTAAATGTTAAATCATCGAATGAGATGTACAAAGTGAATGAGTTACTCTGTCCAATACTTTGTAAGAACATTTGGTTTTTACTTCTAATACACCTGAGAAAATGCTGACCTTATATAGAACTTCTTCATATAAAAATACACTGATCTCATTGACTTACTTATCTGAGTTATCTTTATTAATTTCTCATCAGATGGAATAAGTCCATTGGCAGCAATGCACTTGTAATGACCAAAATCTTGATCACCCCTGAGTGGCACTTGTACTTTGTTTTCTCTGGCTGTGACTCTGTTTATTTCACTTCCTTCAGGTTTGTACCATGAGAGTGTTGGTGTAGGAACACCATCAGAAAGACACTTCAAAGTCACTGGCTGGCCAATCCAAGACTTCTTAGATGACGTGGTGACATTTCGAATCGTGGGCGGGTCTAAGAATAAATGCCAATACAATAAGCAATTGAATAAATAATCGGTGATACTTCATATCAATCAGAACATTAATGATCTTTATCATTCCACTGCTGTGTCATTTTACCAAACAAAATAACGAAAACAGCAAAACATGCCACAGTATTACACTTTAGAACAAGCCAAAAATACGTAGCAACACATTGGCCGCCCTGAACGATCCAAACTTTAATTTTTTTTGTTTAATTTTTAAATTTGACTGCTAAAGTAGCTAACTTTTAAGCATGAAAGAACACCTTCTACGACCGATACGATACACAGATAAGGCCGTAGGATGTAATTCGCATACTAAAATTAAAACACTGATAACTGAAAATAACAGTGGAATAATAAATCAATTATTCGAGAGTTTAACACATAATACGAGCGGAAATTTTGCTCATTACTCATATTTTCTCTCGCCTCTCAGGGCTCGGAAAAATTACTTCGCAACCAGAATAAGGTGTATTTATTTTTTTTCTTAGAGGGCACGCTAACGAATCCCGCAATCTGATGGTTTCTTAGCGCGGTCCGTGTTTTCCTATCCCTGTCTGAGGGCATAGCAACACTTATCGCGAGATGCAGAGTCATCCGTACCTTCGTTGCCATTCTTCATAAATAAATTTCGTTTAGCTAGCTGGGCATTATTTTTTTTAAAAAGCCGTGGCTCACGAAATGGGTTGACTTGCGGCCTAAAAACCGTTTGTAATTAATTTTAATCCTTCACAAAAAGTTAAAACGTGAGGTATTTGTTTTAAATTGAATTAATCAATGGGACTTGCATTGATTCAATAGCGGAGCGCGGAAAACACGCAGCGTAGACTATACTAATTAAAAAAATAATAGTTACAACAGTAACCCATCAAGTCGGAAAAATTTGATCGTACAACCAAAATGAGGGTTGTCCAGTACACCCAAACCGCCACCATTCGTTAAAGACAGTTGGCGAATCGTTCTACCGGAAATCTGATAAACCATCTCTCATTAGATGGAAATGCATACCGGAAGTCAATTTGTAAGACACTTAGAAAATATCGCAAGTAGTTATTAAACGGGGGTTGAAGATGTTGTCAAATCGACTCGATTCGACCGACTCTTCTCAGTTAAAGTCGACCTGTCACACCGGAAGTTGATTTGCAAGGCACTTAGAAAATATTCGGCAAGTAACTACTGAGGGTCGTTGAGAATGTTGTCGAATGAATGACTCGTCTCAGTTGATGTCGACTTAAGACACATGAGTTCAGTTGCGATTAATAGCCGTACTTATCACAATTATTAATCGTGATAGAAGATGTCTTGAGGCTATTAATCGGAAGATATGCCATTTGAGATAAATAATCGTAATTTAAGGACTTCAAGACAAGTAATCGTGAAATTTCACTCCAGAACTAAAAAAATCCGGAAATTTATAAACACCTGTTTACACTAATTGCCAGATTAAGCAACATAGGCTTGAATACTATGGTAAAACAGCTCATAACTTACATTTCTAGAAAGAGCAACCTTTAGTTTCTGTTTTCATAGACATGCAAATTCGTCAAAACTCGGAAATCTTCGGTGCCCCCTCTTTTGGAACAACTGGCTGCAAGTCCACGGGGTCTTTGAGCAATAATGAACGACTTCATAAAAAGAGGTGTGCGTTAGCGAAGGGGAACATCCATCGGCCTCGAAGTGCAAATCAGAGTCCTGCCTCTCCAGTACCAAAACAATGGGAAAAGTATATTTTCAATCCAAAAAACAAGGTGTGGCTCGAATTATTTAGTTCAGCATGTTTTATTTAACCGTTAAGTTCTAGTTTTGTTTCCGGCAAATTATATAGAGAATAATACATGGGCGCGCGTAGATATGGAAAGCTTCATATCTTTCTTTTGGAAGTGTCACGCCAAGTTTATTAGCATCTTTCCCACTCTAAAGAATTTAATTTTCTCCTTTACCATTTTTCCCTTGCAGCGTGACATGAACAAAATGTACGGGAGCCATTTTAAAATTTGGCGCTCCTACTATAATTACCTCACCCAAGGTGATTAAAGCGAGATATGACGCACTCCTCTACCAATGAGAGTGCGTGCATCTCTATAATCACCCAAGCAATTATACTAAAAACATATATATCAATAGCAGACAGGAGGGTCATAAGTTTCTCGTTTTGAAACATAAATGTTGTTTAGGTTGGTCTTAACAGAGGAAAAACAGTGGATTGTTTTTATACTAGATAGTAACAAGTTCCAAAGTTCAGCATTTCTAATGAAATATGATTTCCTGTAATAATCTTGATTATGTCCGTAGATTAAGTTATCATCATTAATGTCAAATTTACGTGTACGATGATATGGCTCAAAGTATGCAAGTACATGTATTCCTTACATCGATAGATGTTAGACCATTCCAGGACTTAAAAATAGAAGCAGGTCTGACATCCCTCGACAAAAATCACGAGGCGGTAGTGGAAATTACTGTTTTAACTCACTTTCTGTTGTAAAGAGGCAGATATTGAATATGGCTTGTTAAAAAGGTTGTCACAGAGCATCAGTAACAATAGACTTGTACTTGCACAAGTGCAACCCTGATACCAAAATGTGATTGGTGGGAGCAACAAACCCTTATGCTGCGATCTCGTTGCAATTGGCTTGGGCGAAATGGCATTTCTGGATATTTACGTCGTTTTTGTTTGCTTGTTTTTTTTCTTTACAGGAAATGTTTTAGATATGTGGTATAATCCAAGAAAGCATGTCTGGTGTCATTTTGATGGGTGAGTTCAAAATCTAGAGATTAGCACAACGTCCATGCTTGCTTTTTACCTGCTCCTAACATCAGAGGTCAAATGCCTGCGCATATGCAAACGCGGAACAATGAATGAGTTGCCAGTCATCGGATTCTTGCGTTTGCGCACAGATATCTGGGATCGTCACGTGGCAGATATTGTAACCCGCTATAAAGGAACGTATGGCGAAAGGTTTGTTTGGACGTCCAAAAAATGCGATTTTGGTAAGAGATTATGGCTTTTTCGCAGCAGTTTTATCATACGTGGTGAAAGATAATGCTGTTACCTTGGAAGTTAAGGCTTTTGCTGGAATTAACACGGAATATGTTATAAAAATACAGAAAACTTCTCTCCTTACGTAAGGTCTATTGTGAAATCGTCATCGTGTAATGGTCTCAAAGTATTACAAAATTACCCAGAAATCGCTACGAAATAACACTTTTAAAAGTATTTTCAGTTGTATTTATACATGCACGGCCTATTTTTATACTTTCTAACGTATTCGATAGACAAATTACGTTTGAAAATATACTTCCTCAAAGGAGAGAAGTCGTTGTCAGCGGAGATGGAAATTATTTTTACCGAGCTAATGCTCACTGAAAAGATAAAATGAGCGATGAAAAAAACATGAGGAAATCCCCAGTTCAAGTGATAGATTGTTTGAGAAAAATCCAAAGGTTTCTGAGCCGCAATTTTTTCTTCTCGAACTCCCTGAAGGATCTTGTCAGGAAAGCAAGATCACGGGAACTCCGGCAGAAACTGTGGACGTATCATCAGCTGTGCATCGCTCCTTAAGAGACCAATTTGTATCACTCATCGCCACAGAAGAAAGGGTACAGTCTTAAGCCAATCATCAACGCTGATTCGTTCTCGTTGATCACAACAAAGAAGTGTAGGTATTTTATCACTTTAATGTACCAGAGTAATATTTAATGCTTCAGCACGCCATTTCAATCTCCTGCTGCCTCAAGGTAGCTTTTATAGCGCTCTTTTGTATTACTAAGCCAAGCTAGAAATAGACTTAACTCACGCACAAAAAACTGACACGGCTTAGTTGAGTTATTCCTTGGCGATTCATATGGTTTTTCTAAATTTCGAAACCATTACGCAATGTCAAATTCACAATAAACCTTGCGCGTGGAGACAAGTTAATAGGTAGATTTTACTACACATTACATAGTTTTTCAAACAAAAACTTACTCTTCCCTTGAATCAGCATTACCCTAGTCCACTTCTGATAAAGGAACGGCGAAAAAACGATAATCTCTCTCTAAAATCTTTTTTTCAGACGTCAGAAAAACCTTTCGCCACACAATTCCTTCCAGTGAGTTGCAATGTTTGCCCCGTGGCGATCCCAGAAATCTATGCGAAAACACAAGGATCCGATTACTGGCAACTCATTCATTAAGTATCTCACAGAGCGGGGCGGCACAGTGCTTGCAGGTTACACAACCTCCTAAACCAGAAAGTCATGGGCATCAATTACAAGAGCGCAGCATTTCTCTTTCCTTTCCCTGTCTTTCGATGAAAACAAAGAATGAAGGTTGTAATCACTCCATAGTAGAGTCCGTCACTTTTGTGTTATTTGACAGTCGAGTATTCAGTATATGGTGGCAAGGCCTACGAATAATGAAATATAAAATGGATTCTCGCCCTCAAATAGTATATCTCTTCGAACGCCACACATGAAAATATGAGCGAAAACCTTGGGCATGTAGTTTTAATTTCAGCCCATTTTCACATTTACCAGCTGATCTCAGCTATCAGTTAAAAAAGTGTAATTTCGCAGCTTACAGTGAGGATCTTGAACAATTCTCAGCTTTCCATTAAGCCCCAACCAGAGCCCTCACACGGGATAGGAATATGTGATAGCCTTGTGCGCTAGGCAAACAGAGTGAATTTTGGGTGGTGACAATGACTTACAAATGGCTTTAAGCCATTTTCTGAGTTAAAAACAGTCCAACTGAAGCAATGATTTAATGAGAAAATTGTCGCGCCCTCCAGAGCAAAATAACGTAAAAAATGTTTCCACCTATATTTAATTGTGCCAACCAGTACTTGAGACTGATGCACACAAAGCTGAAAAGGATTTGAGGTGGAATTCTGTTTCCTTACACTTTTGAACAGATTCATCAGTTTTGTGTAACTAACCCCAATAACAGGATTCACACTGTAAATAAAGTAAATTCAGAGATAGAAAATTAAGGTTAAAATATACTTACAGTGAACTACAATTGTTGTGTCAACAGAAGTGACTTCCATTGAGTTATTGGCTTGACATGTATATTGTCCTGCATGCATCTGTTCTGTTTATATTATCGAACTTTAAAAACGCAGCTTTCTTCCCTGAACTTTCCAGTTCTCCATTTCTAATCCATGCTACATCCGGCAGTGGTTTCCCAGAAGCTTCACAGGCTATGGTGACAGGGGATCCTTCAATGTAATATTTTCCTCCCAAAGAGATGTTTATAAGTGGTGCCTCTGAAAGGTAAAAGTGATTATATCATTGCTCATATGGCTTAGCAAATTTTACTTGGACTGAGTTTTAAAATTTACCCAATTACAATAAAATAAATAGAGAATAATACATGGGCTCGCATAGATATGGAATTTCTCTTCGAGTGTTTAATTCGATCGCACACGAGTGAGCGCAGCGAACGAATGAGATGTCGAGTTGAAAACGAGAAGAGAAACTCCATATCTACATGCAAGGTGCTGGATTCTAGATTCTACCCCTGCAGATTCCGGATTCCATCTCAAATTACCTTTTTTAACTTTCCTTTTAAACAAAGACCAAATTAAGGAAAATTTAAACTGAAATACAATTTTTATAACACCTCGTGTATGTCACAAATAATTGCAGACTATGACTGAGAAAAGCTTGTTTTCCTCTATGTAACTGGCGATGATATTCGACATTATGAGATAGCGCATAAAACGGTGTTCAACCAACTCAACTGTACTTTAACCTTTGCAAAATCGCGAAAGATCTGCATGATACGGATGATATGGATTTTCAGCAAATGGATTTCAGCGGGATTCTGGATTCCAATGCCCAGGGTTCCGGATTCCACGAGCAAAAATTTCCTGGATTCCGGAATCCGGATTACAATACCTGGGGCGAATCATTATCACATAACGCTATGCGTGAATAAAAAGTACGAACGAAGCAAAACTGCTCTTATGAAAGCAGCATTTCCTGAAATGTCGCGCGTAACATTTGTATTCAGTTTCAACCTTATACATCAAAAGCTTCGAATCGCTGACCGTTAAAACCGTTCTCACGACCGATAGACGATGTTCAAATTTCGAGATGAAGACAGCGATGTGTTCCGTTTCTATAGGACAGGTATCGACGGAATCAAAATTTTGCTCAAGTTACAGGTCACACCACCTCAAATACAAACGGGATTAATTAATGATTCCTAAACACCGCGCGTTATAAAGACATGAAATTAACTTAATTTATCGTTGTTATGAGTATCCTCAATGCTGATATAAAAAAAAAGGCCAATAGAGGATCAAGGGGGAGCCCAAAGCAAATTCGTCTTTTGCCACACGACCGTTGTTTACAACATTAAATGTGACCTGTACGATGCAGGTTATGTTGGTTTTACACGCCGCCATGCATCTACATCAACATGTTCAAGAACACGGAAAATCGACTCCATCGATTGGCAGGCATTTTCGCAACAAGCACTCTTTGGCCTTGAGGGATCTTAAAAATAATTTTAGTGTTTTAAAGAAGAGTACGAACAAATTGGACTGCCTACCTTATGAAATGTTTTTTTATTCAAGAACTGAGACCTGCTCTCAATGTGCAGTCGGACTGAATTCGTGCAAAGGTTTTTAAATAGGCTTTTTTTTAGTATCATGATTGAGATATCACAAATGTTTTCAACTTTGAAGCACAGTTAAATGACCAAGAAGTTACATACTTAATATCACACTTGTTTCCATGTACTTAACATTGTTAGGACATCCAAGATACTGTGTTCGAAAATGTAAGTTGAAACACTCAGAGAGAAAATTAAAGAATCTGTTCAAAGAACACTACGCTTCTGTTTCATACACGAAAATTTCTTGAAAAGTTTAGGTTGCATAAGCTCAAAAAAATGATTCATACTCTAAATTGAAATGGAATACTTTTAGTCCATTGGAGCTCTTTGCGAAACTCAGCCAGTTTCTCGGTGGAGAAACCAAAATTAGCAATAAAATTAGAGCTGTTGAACTGATCTCCATGAGTAACAGCATCTTCTAGGAACAGCATCCCTACCTTGCCAAGTTGATCATCATTGCATCATTTTCTGTTTGCATGCTCAAAGTATTTCAAATAGCATAAAGAGCTTGGATTATAGACTTTGCTGATTTGCTGCTTCCATAACTTTTAGGAGAATTTTGCTCCAGCGCATAAATCAAATCTAAGTCTCGGATTGCTCCTTAGTCTCAGAACTTACTTGAGGAAGTCACCGTTCTGTTGACTAAATTTATATCTGTAAACGTTGAAGATCATAATACTCAGAAAGCAGCGAAAGGCTTAATGTCGACTTTCATTCCCTTTGGCAAGTCCCTTTGGCAAGTCCCTTGAAAAGCAATGCCATTTTTTCCACACCAAATTAATTTCACATGCTGCCTGTGATTGGTCATGCAATATTCTCCTTCACTGATTTAGCAAAATCATAGAACTAGTTGGATTGTTTCTAATGTTGACTGGCCATTTTTAATTGAGAGCTTTGCTAAGAGAAAATCTTATTATTCATATTAATAATAGTTATCTATGCATAACAGAGCAACCCAGTAGTTGGTGCCAGAAGAATGAAGCAATAACTCTTTGAATTCTTTCTCACGAGAATTACAACAAAGTAAACGGTAGAATTTATTTTCTCCTTTTGTTGAGCGTCGCATGCCATATAAAAGTAGCACTATTGTTCCAAAAAGTCGGGTTAGCTGGCCACTTTCAGCCCTGCATAGGAAGGTTTGTGCAAATTTATATGCTATTGTTTACTTTTTCCAGATCTCAGAAATATGAGACATGAGTTTAATGAATTTGATTTATATTTGATTATTAATGGTTATGTCTCTAATACGTACCTGCCACAATAAGCTGCACTATACTTCGAACATGCCATCCCCACATTTCACATTTAAATTTGGTATTATCTCTAGGGTTGATGTTCTTGATAACCAGGGTAGCTCTTCCTTCAATTTTAACTCTTCCTTTATAAGATGAAGGGATAGAAGGATGTTCTTGCACACCACGACTGTCCTTAAAAATCATTTTGACAAATGCACTATTTACCAGAACACTGTAGACAATGCCCTGAGTCTTATTATGTGGATCAGTGTAGTCCCACACCAGGTTGGCATTACTACCATTGTTAAAGTAGCTTGGATTTGAAGGTTCCTGGGTGAAACCCACATCCACACCCCCTAAAATAGACAACCATAAACATTATATTCTCAGCCCTTTAGTTACATGTGTAAGGATAATATTTAGGAAAAAGGGCTTAAAATAGAGTTCACCACAAAGGCACTTTTAGAGTAAACAGTAACAACATTAAGAGTAAATATGCACTATATTGGTATTCACTGATATCAATCAGCTCGAAATTTACTTTCTGTTGCTAGGATATAAGGTTCAATAACAGTAGTGTGTAACTATCTGTGCCTTTTGAAAATCATTTTTGACAAGTTGCACTTTCTTTAATTTCCAGACTGTGTTCAGTGGTCAGTGGAACACTTGAAGAAATTTTTTTAAAAAGAACTTATCAAGGTGAAAAATGGAAAGTAGACATGTCCACACATATTATATGTATCTTAAACCATTGAATGGGGGATTTTTTATTCCACTCATTTCATTTTCTAGTCTTTTGGCTTCTTTTTTTGAAAAGTTGTATGGTCTTATCTGAGCATCCTGCCCATCAAATAAGATGTACATGAAAGAAGAAAACAACAGAAATTAAAGAAACCATTTAATGTTCTCAGTGACCAGGACAAAATTCTTATTGGCTTTAAAGTTCACTGCTGAAAAAATCATGTCTAAAAACTGGAAAAAAAATAAAAGATCACATGCTTCACTTCTGTCCCTATTCTTGCCCTGTTCTACAGTGTAGAACCAAGGTATATTTAGCATGTTCCATTGCCCCAACAAGGTAAAATAACATAATAATGAATAAGAATTAAGAAATATTTGCTTAAGGTGGAGTGAATATTATTTATTGATCTTCCCTTCACCTTCAACAAATAATTGTTTAAGTATACAGTAATTGCTCAGGTGCTTTCAAATTCTATTATAAATTCTGTAAGTAAAGAAAGTATTGTCCAGATTTTGTTACAGTTGTGTTGATTACCTGTATCAAGATTAGCGAGAAGTTTTAAGAGGCTTTTTGCATTCGATCAGCAAAAACTTCATCCTTTTGTTTAATAAAGTGATCATTTAATATCTTTTGTGCTCTTCACTGTTTAATTTTCTACTATTGCTTTTATCCCTTCCTCACAGATATTTGACAAAATGCAAGACAGCCATTTTGAAATTTAGTGCTCTTGCTATAATCACCCACACATGGTGATTATAGCGAGATATGATGCAATCCTTGACCAATAAGGGATTGCGCATCTCTATAATCACCTGAGCAATTATACTAATGGTATTTAATCACTGAAGTCTTCACATAAGTTAAAACAACAACAACAGCAAAAACAATGCAATGATCAATCATGTCATGTGTGGACCATAATGCTTTCTTATCAGAGTCAGAATCTAGAAATTTAAGTCTTTTGTACTGCCATTTTGGAGGAGATTCTACTGAATGTTAGGAATTGATCAAGCAAAGATTTTGACAAAGATTGCGATCAGTTTGCATGAGGTGAAATCAGAGAGACTTTCACCAATTTTCATGAAATCCAGCTTTCTCTGACATTATCTTCATAAATTAATTTAACTTGTTTACACCAACAGCTGATTTCTTGTTTTTAACATCCAGCAAACATTGCTGCCATTCACTTTCATTCACTTTGGCAAGCCCCCACACCACAAAGGCAAAACTCTCACTTGTGAGGAAAACCAACTGACCTATCAGAATTTGTGCAGCTCATTACAAATCAATTTTTTTTTCCAAATTTAGCTTGGAGTAAATCTCAGTATGTATATTATAAGCCCACATATATACACACATTTCAAAAACTTTAGTCTTAGTAAAACTTTACCTTTTTCTAAATATACAACAAAAATAAGTAGCCCATGATTGAAGGTGTGGGATACCACAACCATATGTGCATAAAGCTTAAAACTGGTCAATTCAATAAACAATTCATACATGTAGGTAATTGAGCAAAGAAAAGCTCAATTATCCAACCAAGTGCATTATGTAGTTTCTTTACATGATTGCTACCTGGAGGAAAAATCACACTCAACTTAGCTAGCAGCAAATATTCTTGCTGAGGTCATTCTTTGCACCAATAATGAGTGGAAAATTGTTAACAACTCTTCCCTATGATGAGTAATGGATGGCAATTAAGGAAGAGAGTTTAGGTACAGATGGCAACTCTTTCCTGGGTTTCCACAGCCATCATGTTTGTAATGGAAAGCCACCTGACAAAGCAGGAACGTTTCTCATGGCTAAGAAGACGAATCACACTAATCAAGATTATAGTGCACTTCTTAGTTTCAATGTTGATGTTATATTCTGAACGTATGGTATTGTTACACTTAAAGCATAAAATCCTAATTGTTGTTGATTTCTATCGCATCATAGTTATTTAGACTTCATTTATCACGTCATTGAAATTCCAACATCATATCTTAAATTTAAAATACATCAATACATTTGACAAACATCACGTTCAGAAATTAAGGGTCGGCGTTTTCGGTTTCTAAGCTTAAAATAGCACTTGGTAAAAAACACTGTAACATCCTTTGCAGGAGAATAAATTTCACAATTACCTGACCCATGAAACTTTACCAGCAGAAGAAAGAGTAAGTAAATTTCATAATCACGAACAGACACCATCTTATCAGACCTTCGCTGATGCGTCAATGAGGCAGGTTGCGCCTAAATCTTACAAAACTCCCCTGAAGGGATAGAAGAAAAGGCCCCTCTTCGCTTTGAAACTGGGACCGAGTGTCACGATCACCCTCGTGAAATTGTCGGCCGTAGTCGGCAAAATTGCCTAAACAACATGGCGGATAGTGCAATTTAACAAGCGACTAAATACAGGAATGGCTCCGACCTGTAATTGGATGATAAAAATAGTAAAAGTTAATAAGTTATATCTTAACTCTTTGCCCGTGAGTATTGTTAACCGCGTGTCTCCAAGCGGAACAACGAAATATCAATGCGAGTGAAAACACCGATCTGTAAAAAAAGAAATGATTACTTACGTAGCGAAGGGAAGTCAGCCTTTCTTATTCAGCGAGGTCGTTCAGCGATATTCCAGCGATGAAAAAGTCATCGGCTAACAAGCTCCGCTGACAAAACTCATTTGGTCAGTTCAGGCGGACGACCAGAGACTGGAGCCATTCCTGTATTTCACCGCTGACAGGAATAGCTCCGACTCAAACGTTTATTAATTTTTTTTCAATAACTTTTTAGTAATTTTTAAAAAAAAAAATTTAAAAATTTAAAACTAAAATGGTGAGCAGTGCTGTACGAACAGTAGTTGTAAAACTTCTTTATTCTCTGACGCGTTTCGTCTAACTCTCGTAACTTCGTAAAAAATTAATATACGCATGAGTTGGAGCCATTCCTGTCAGCGGTGAAATACAGGAATGGCTCCAGTCTCTGGTCGTCCGCCTAGACAGACTAAATTAGTTTTGTCAGCGGAAATTGGCAGCGGATGACTTTTTCATCGCCGGAATATCGCTGAACGACCTAGCTGAAGAAGATAGACTCTACCTTATCTTCGTTATGTAAGTAGCCATTTCTTGTTTGACACGTCGGTGTTTTCGCATCGATATTTCATTGTTCCGCTTCGGTACACGCGGTTAACAATACTCACGTGCAAGGAGTTAAGATATAACTTATGAACTTTTACTATTTTTATCATCCAATCACAGGTCGGAGCCATTCCTGTATTTAGTCGCTTGTGCAATTTATGGAAGAAATCTCGATCTAACCTATACACTTGGAACATTTGCATGAATTGTAGAAACTTTCCTATCGGAGTAACGTTCCATTCAGAGTAAACTATGTGTGAAACTTACGAATGTGTCGAATGAGCATGACTCAATGGCACCGATATCGATCACGCGCGCGTTATGAAGCTGGATTCTTTTTCAAGGGCCGTATTCCTTGGGCCGGAAACTGAAATCAAGCGGATCACGAGCGAAATAATTACGCAATCCAGACGCGCAAACTCAGTCAGTACATAGCAAGAAGTGCGGGAAAATCAAATCGAATCAATTTTTTAGAGGGTAATTTTCCCCAAGATTACCTCTATCTTGGTATTAGCTCCTTCGTGTATCTTCGAACTATGTCATCTCTAAGACTTTCAGTCTTGTGCCGAAGTAAAATCAGCTGAGAAGCCACTGCACGAACACGAAGTGGAAACAACAACTAGCTTTGTTATGTATTACAGCTACAGTGTTGGTAAGGGTAAGTCTAAAGTCAGAGGGGCGTCTTACATAAACTCTGCTTACGAGAGGGAATGTTAAATGGAGGGATGCAGGGGTGTAGGGGTTATGGGGAGACCAAGAGGGGAGGGGGATCCAAAAAACTTCCAATTGTAGCATTTCATAAAAACCGAAAATGAAATCTACTCTTTATTCTGATTTTTAGAGCCAGGTGTGTAGTCAGGGCGTGAAATTGCGCCTAATACAGGCGCCAATGCGCCTAAATTTTTCACTTTGGCGACCAAATCCTGAAAGTTAGTCGCCAAATTGGCGACTAGAACGTTTCATCATAACCTTACCAAGAGATAAAGTGAATTAAAAAGGTTTGCAGAGATAAATCCGCGGCAAACTTCCTCGTTAAGTTTGTTTCCAAAACGTAACACATACATCTCCATCGATAACTAGACGCCATCTTGGATTTAGATGAGCCTGAACGTTGTATATCATCCATCCTAGTGTCCACTTTGTAGCACGTTAATTTTGGAGGGTCTATCTAGAACGCTGACAGCGTAAAGAGAGATTTTGTTTGTCTTTGAAAATGGCGACCAACTTTTTTTGAATTGGCTACCATTTTGAAGAATTTAGGAGCCAAGTGGCTATCAGAAAAAAAAGTTAATTTCACGCTCTGGAGTTCACTTAATTTGTTGTTGTTGTCGTTGTTTGTTTTT